GAATCGAAGCTATGGACGTTCTTGGGTCGCGGAAGAATTGATAATATCAATACGGCGAATATTTAAGCCTCGATCCATTTCGAGCGGCGTGGTCGCCAACAATACGAGGACTGGCGATTGAATCGACGATTGTGTAGCGATCGTCATATCCACGGTTCACAATAGACCTTGTAGAATTGTCCAACAGGAATTATCAATCCTATATACAGTAACTAAGTCACGGGACTCACATTAGACGGGAATGGAAGGCGAACCGGATTTGATTTCGTGCCAAGAGATTGAAACCGTGGCGAGCGTTTCACACTGCGAATAAATGCGACGTTCTCTGTAATGTAAACCTTCAATCCTCCTCGCATTGCGCAGATAACTTGACTTTATTCCTATCTGAATGACATAAAAACAAACTTAGAATTATGTCAGTGCTGAAAGCTGCATTTTAGAAAAAACTAAATGACAAGTTCTTTGATCGAAACTAATTTCTGAAAATGTCTCTCACTGAAATATATTATATTACAACTCATTACGATTAACGGTCTACTTATGGAATTATATCTTGGCAATATATAATATTACCTTTTCATCTTAAAATTAATTTTACTTCAATAAAATGCCTTCCATTTTTAACCACATTTTTAAGCATTCTTATGCTTGCCTTTTTCTATATAATACCTTTATTCCTTTTCTCTAGCAAGGAGATAAAGCGACGCGGGAAGAGTCCCCAGCACACGGCTTCCTTCTCATGTGCACAAAGAAAATTCCGTTTCGATCGTCGCGAAAGTAATAAAAAAAATTTGCATGCATATGCGAGAAAGTAGGGAAACGTTATTACTTTTGCGTATTGTATCAAAGCCCTTTTAATAAATTTTTCTCTTCGACATGCATTACGTGGATTAATATTTTTCATCACCATATTTTTGTACTTTACCATATCTGTCAAGATGTGTATACATTGTTATTTAGAATTAAAAAATTGAAATTTATTGTTACGTGTGCAGTATTATTTTCTTTCTAAGCTCCAATCCTCAAATTAAAAAATTTTTTTATTCTTTTGATTGAGAAAAATTAAGTTGGTAAATATAATATACGAATTTACTGACATAGGAGTTTATTGATACATAAAAAGGAAAGATTTATTGGACGAATAAAATTGACGCGTGCTTTCGTTCAAATAAACATCAAGATTATCGAGAAAATCACATACATTCAGTGTAACGAAATGCCAGTTGATTCTGTATACGATTATATTTGCAATCGTATTGGGGAAATGCATTCTCCCATTAAAATGTAATTAATTTAACGAATTTATTTGTTTGTATACTTGTTTGTGCATGGACAGCTATCAAATTTATTCAACCAAGCAGAATGATTAAGTATATAATGTTCGATTACATATATATAATCAAACATTGGAATTTCCCACGAATTTTCCTCACTTCAATCATAGCAAGAATGTGATTTCATGCTGTTTAATTATTTGTTCCATAGCATACCGATTTATATTTCAACATTACAATCAACTCGGATGCCAAAAGCGTTATAGCATCAATTTTCGTGTTCTACGTTTGAAGCGTTTTCGACTAACAGGATCGTAAATAAAATTATGGAATATTTACAAGTCCTATGACAGTCGTTATAGCAACGACTGTCCTTTTAGACGTCACCCTGTAGTTTGCACGAATCAAATCAAAGTCATGTATTATTCTGAATTTGTCTCTCTCGAAATAGCATTCGTGTATTTTACAAAGTAATAAAAAAATATATATTTCGTATCAGTGTGTTCATATTAAAAGAATTTGCAATAAAAAATATTCGTGCAGAAGATTTTTCTGCAAAAGATCCAATATTAAAGTGAAATTTTAGCGTATTTATCTTCTACGATAATCATTTTACCACCGTTTTCAACGCTAACTGCAAGAACATTTAAAAAAGAATATGTTTTCTTTTTAGATATCGTGCAGAATAGCAATGTAGCAAGCAAATGGCGGACACCAGCTGTGCAGTGGATTATAAAAAACCATGAGATAACAAAATACCGATGTGTTATACCTAGCTTATAGCGATGTTGCGCTGAAGTCTCAACATTTGTTATTCAATTTCTCTCGCAGCAAATTTTTCTTTGCAAAGGGGCGGTATAAATTTCGAGAAAGAAGTGTAATGCGAATAATAAAATGTTGGATAAAACATCGAATATATGAAGATAATAAAATTGAACTTTTAATTGGTAGTACGCCCATAATAAACCCGTCCACTCTGAATTCTAATATATACTGAGTCAGCAAGATTGTAATATTTTTCAAATAATAAATTTGATATTATTTATTTTATTAAAAATAGAAAAAATAGTACAAATTATTTATTCTCCAATTTAACGAATAGTACCTAACATGAATTTTAAAAAATGTAAAAGACTGTAAAACGATTTCATTTGATTGAAAAAATGTGCTACAGAAATTAAATGTTCATACATTGTGAGGAACGTAACGAAAGTTTGTTCCACATTTATGTCGCGCGAGCGTCGTTATACTTTAATTGTGCATAAATCTCTTGCTTGAAGACAGGTCATAAAATAGTTTACAGTGTCTCCCAAAAGTTTCCAGTTTAGTCTCTTTGATTTCCATGTTGCCAGAGATAAGCGCAGCACAAAGAGAAAATGTTCGCCAAGAGATGGGAGGCGTATTTCTCTCTCTCCGACGAGTAAGAATTTTTGCACGCTTTCCCGGTATATTCCGAGGTAAACTACCTGTGTTCTGATATATGTAAGGCGAATCTAACAAGCTTGCTCACGCAAAAATATGTATTTCTTTTTTAGAAAGTAATACAAATGTATTCCAAAGTATTCTGAGTTCTTAATAAAAAAAACTAATTACATTATATTATTACCAAAAAATTACCTCAGGTAAACTACCAATATATTTTGACACATAAGGCAAGTTTAACTGATTTGCTCACAAAAATATGAACATGGAAAGTCTCGCTGAAGTATCTAAAAATTTGGCTAGATCTAAAAATAATTTTGTTGAATTATCGAAATAATAATATAGGTTCAAGTATATATAATGAGTAATATTGTGAACAATTTTAACATTCTAGTAATAAAGTTGAGCTATATAATTATTCCAATAATAACAAAATTATTAAAATTATTTTCAATCTTCTTGCTGAATTTTTAAATACTTCGACGAAAGCGTTCTATCCGTATGATAATAAGTTGGATATGAAAAGTTTTTTAAAAAGTAATAAATGTTCTAAAGTATTTTAAATTTCTAATCTAATAAGAATAATTATATTATTATTGAAAAATGTCTTCATTATTAGAAATATATATATGTACAATTAGTCAATTTCCAATTTCGCATTTAATCTTACGAATATTTTTAATGTACGTAAGTACATCTTATTATGTACACGTAACAAGACAGACAAAAATAAATTATTATCTTTAATGTCTAAGATAATTTATTTCTTAGTTATGCACCAAATGCATATATTTTCTTATATATTAAAGTTAATTTTCTACTTAGATATATTGTCTTACTTTTTTCCCCAAGTCATATTACAAATATCTTATTTTTTCGCCTAGTTAATAGTTTGATAATTGGGACACACGTCCATTGCGTGTTTATATAGGATGTTGTCATGCCGCGAATGAATATTGCAAGGTCCGTATGAGCGATTTCCTTTCGAGGGAGGACTCACCCAGAAGTATTGCCGGTTGAATCCGGGGATCTTCGTGTGAGAGGCCCCGACCTCGTGAAGGTACGTCAGGAACGCATCCATGTCGTCGAGGCTCTTGATACCTTCGTCGAGGGTGGTCATGACCGTTTTCGCGTGCTCGGCCAGTTCCATGCTCGTAGACTGTTGCTCCTTTGTCTTTTGATCCCGAAACTTCGTGAACATATTTAGCAATTCCGTGTTCTCTTCAAATAATCTGGAACCACACGGCGTGTGGCATCATTAGAGGAGTTGTGAAGACATTAATAGTTGTGTAATATCGTAATATGTGACGAGAAGTTACATAATACGTCAATGATTGTTTATATCAAAATTAAGTGAAATATGGCTTGTTTTTTATATGTGGGATACAGGAAATTTTATCTCATATAGAGGATAAGAAGAGAGAATATTTTAAATATATTTGCTCATCATTATGTTAGATAGTTGATGAAAAAATTTAATTATTATGTATAAAATCATAAATAATACTTTTGAGGGTATTTCCGTGGGTATTTGCTTCAAGAAAGTTATGCAGTTTACGGGTTATCTCCGTATCTTGCATCGTTAAATGCCAATGTTTCGTGAATGTTGCAGTTCACTTTATCAGGATAAAAAGCAATCTCATAGTCATAAATGCAAGTCGGAGCAAAAATTTAAAGAAAGCGTGTTTAAAAATAGATTTAATAAACATTGTAATTTATGGATTAAAGTAACTTACGGTTTGAAATATGTAATCGTTAAAGACGGCTAATCTTTTGGAAAAACAAGTTGAAGAAGCAAGACATTTTCGATTAAAAATTCAAAAGATATGAAAAGTTGAAGCAAAGGAGTGAAGCTAAGTGATTAAAAAAACGTTGAGCATTTTTGATAAGCATAAACTTTGTCTGTTCTACAAGAATCATAAATTTCAAACTCAGTTCTTTGATGGTCCGAGATAAGTTTTTCTTTTCGTCTCCATTTTTTCCAAATGTATTTAGCTAGTCCCAAAATATTTCACACACACAGTTTGCATATAAAAATTTATCCCTCAATTCCGTCGAAATGTCTGATATTCCGTAATATCTTCTCACGATATTTTTCACACCAGATTCAAAGAACCGTAGGGACAAAACCGAGTGACGCCTTGAATTCCAAGCTCTACGTTATCTAACGTTGGCATGCATCTACCACGAGAGAAATCGATTGCTAGGAAAAGACACGCTATTTGTTTCAATCCTAACTCGTTCGCATTTTGTTTGATTTCTTTCGGACATTTATTTTCCTCTCTTTCACGTGACATACGATACTAATGCATAATAGATACAAATATAACCATCAATTTTATATTTAGCACTGAAGAAGCTCAAGATAACCCTAGCGTTTGCCGGAATGTAGTTCACTCGTAAGTAAACAAGAATTTATTGAAAAAAATTCGTTGCAATCTTTGCGCGCACAGTTTTCTCTTTCTCTTCTTCGTATCAAAATTTGGTTAACTTTTTCTCTTCGAGTTTTATACTCGTTGGAGTAACGAGTTCACGTGGGCCTCGTTATAGCAGCTCGACAAAAATGTTTTTGTTTCGTGGATGGTAGGTTGCTCTCAGCCATTCATGAAATACCTCTTTGTATAACGAGGCATTCCAATTTCGCGCTTGTCTATCTAGAGGAAAATGTACGCGCAAGGGAGAAAATATAAACATAGTTATTTTATCTTTGATGATTTCAACAGTTAATAAGTGCCCGCTGCAATTTAATACCTGCATCGGACCATGCATTGGAGATTGAAAATTGCAAATTGGAGATTAGAATTCGACCAATCAGATAAATTTAATTTTGATCTGTTTCACTTCAATTGGAGTAGAATTTTAATTTTCATTTTGCAGTTTTTGATCTCCAATGCATAATCTGTTACGGACTCAACACACGTAAAATGCTATGTACTTTTTCAGTTTGCAAAATATAATGTTCGTTTTTACGCTTTTATATTTTGTAAACAACAGAATATGACAAAATAATAAAATTTTCTCTTCATGATAACGTAACGTATCTGCTTACATAGTATCTCTATATGTATAATATTTATCTTGTTAAATTTTTTCTGCGCGCATAAAAATCACAGAGCATATAATTAATAGATAACAAAATGTATTGTCTAAATATACTTTACGGTAAAATAAAAAGACGTACGGGACAATTCTTTTATATCTCGTTCAAAGATTGCATGGAAAAATTAATCGCGCGTCCTTAGAAATTTGATGCTGTAACTTCAGCGACTCAAAAAAAATGTTGCGGCAGAAAAAATCGTGAGATCGTCGATATTCAAATTGGTCTGATATTGCGTCAAGATTATTCAGCGCGCGTATCTCTCTCTCGCGTCCGTATAAATTATCTTTCCCGAAGGAAAATGACATTTCACACGGTATCCGTCCGTCGTGATTTTTCACGACGTGCAAACTCGTTACACTGTCGGCTACAGCACAGCGCGAATTTTATTTGATCTCAACGGATGAATGTTCACGAAGAAACAAAAATAAGTGCGCAAGGTTGTACAATTTTGTAAACTCCGTAAATTTAAGTATAATATACGAAATACTCTCCCCGAGGAGATCGTTCGCGAATGTAGAGTAAATAATGCATCTTCACCTCCGTGCGTCGAGAATAAATTTAAATGAAGAAATGCTCCGGAGAAATATTTCATTTTTTATTTACGTTAATTTAGACTAAGTATACACCATCTGTATAATAATTAATACGCAATAAATAAAAATTCTCGCAAAAGTTATACCTTTAAAATGGACATGTTATTTTTGTTAAACTTTTCATTTTTATGTTGCGATATTATAATTGCAATTATTATTGCATTATTATTTTTTTCCAATATAAGTAATTACGATATCAAGGGATGAACCTCTGACTAAGATTGTGTACACCAACGTCTACTAATGCCCAATAATGCCCAATTTTTATGCCTATTTTAATACTCTAATAATGCCCATTAATGCCCTAAGTACTCTACAATGCCCAGTAATGCTTCACCGCTTATTATAATACACAATTTTCCTCTTAAATAATGTCTCAAATCTGTACACTGCAATGCTCTCGGTGGTTTACCCTTTGATAATTATTTTTAAAATTGTACATATTGTCATATTACATTAATAACTTTACTGAACTAAAAATCAGATAAACTTTCTAATTTTCATATATATATTTCAAAAAAAAAATTCCCTATCTCTCGCTCATAAAGAGACATATATCATGTAATAATTGTGCATATATGACAGTTGAATCATCTGCAATATACGCAATCGAATCTCGCTCTTATCGCACTTTATCGTTATCGATTGTTCATATTTCGTGCATACGTTTCATAAATCTCTGTGGATTGATTAGTTACGATTAAATATGGAAATCCCAGAGAATCGTACATTTTATTTTGCCGTCAGTTTCTGACATGTTGGGATATATGTGCAATGTGCATACATATATATTTAAGCAATAACGACTAACTACTAAATCTTGATCAAACTCCGATCAATTTGAATTGAATTTCTTTTGTCATCCCCGCTTTTGGAGCAAAAAATATTGCAATCTATAACATTCTTAAGCTTCAGTGGGCAAGCGGACTGCTCACGTTTTAAACGATGCGTAAAAACACGCGATTTCAGGCCGAAGACGAGGGTTAAAGAGCGCATAACAGCAAATTTGCATGTAACTTACTACGATGCAAATGGGATCGACATGACTGAAGAGACCGACGAGCGTAAGTATTGACCGGGTATGATAAAATATTTTTAAATGCGGCCTCCCAACAGGCAATAAACGGACGATGGTATTCGCTTGGTATAAGTTCGGCGGGTTCTTATCGTCTGGGAACGGATTGAAAAGTTTCGTATCGGAAATCCATATTCTCCCCCTGTGGAAGATGCTTAAAAGCGACGAGAAACAACGATACTGCTGTCGATTCGGCGCGCGCGCGTCAGCTTTTCCACTGTGCTGCTCCCATAATCCGATAAAAAAAGCAACCCTAATGATCGATACGACGACGAGTAATTATCAACATTGCATTGAACATTGATGCCGATGCCTCGTTGCAGCCGTTTTGATCTTTATAATGGCATCAGTTATATATTTTTTAATATAATTTTTTTCTAATTTTTAATCCTCCGTTAAAATGTTCAAATTTAAAGACGCTACTATCGATTTTTTTATTGTAAATTAACATAAAAAAATTTAAATTTATAATAAAATATAATCCAACTTCTATGATAATAAAAATTCGTTGTTAAAATTTTTTTTTTCACAAATACGTAAGAATTTTCAGATTTTTATATCTTGGAACAATATAAAAATCTGCGTATGAAGTTCAAAATTAAGTTGTGGACAAAGGATAAAAGTTTCATACTATCGATGAAGGGTTAAAAACAAAGAAGGTTAAATAAACAAACATGACAAATAATAATTGAAGTGCTGTACCTTTTTTAATACTGAAAAACAGATAAGCATGCAAGATAAGACAGAAGAAATTTAAGATATATAATTCCGATCGATTCTCGCTAAGAGCCGAATGTAGTAAATTAATTTGACTTAAGTGGAAATCTCCAAAGGACGTACATGCCCGGATATTAACAAGTTCGAGCAGAGCGCGATGAAATTAATGCCTTGTATCTCCATTAAGGTAAACCCGCAGCGAAATCCAGCCGCGAGCAACAACGCCTTCAACCGTTTTCCAGTTACGCCGAGGAAAATCAAGTTTTAAGATCATTATGATGCATAAGTCACACCTGACATAAACTCATTGAGAAAAAGAACAGATTACGGAAGAGTTTTCGCCAGTATTAATAAATGATACATTCATATAAATTGTATTTAAATCATTAAACGATCGTAATTTTATCATTAATATATTACATGTAACAATATATTGAATCTATCTAGTACATAAAATAAAATATAAAATATCGTGTGATGATTATAGTCATTGTAATTGATTCGAATAATTGTTAATAAATAAATATTTATTATTATATTTCTGATACCACAAAAAGAATAAAATAAATTTTTGATGTATAGCGAGATATTGTTACTTTGTAGATATTGGAATACATTAGTAATAATCAAATATTAGATGCATCAAACAAATATATGTATATTGCTAATAATATTTTATTAGCAATTTAGTAATGTAGTGTTTTTTACCTTATTAAAAGATAAATAATTGTTTATTAAATTCTCTCTGATTCGAAAAAATTAATATACTTATATTTAAAAGCTTACACACATTTATAAAATCATATAATTATATTTATTAAAATTGTTTAATACGTCAGGAATAACGTGAATTGATTGAACAAAACGTGTCATAAATAATTGGTAAATTTAATATTTCGATTATGTTATCAATAAATAATAAAATATTGAGCTTCAACATTTCTAGTTTCGTAAAATAAAATATATTTGTAGCTTCTCTTCTCTCTCTCTCTCTCTCTCTCTCTCTCTCTCTCTCTCGCGCGCGCGCGCGCGCGCGCAAAATGCGTTACTTATAAAATGCTTGCAATAATTATTATGCGTTGTATTTTTTATTCTATTAGTAATATATTTCTCTTTTGGCATGTGATATAAAGAAAAACCTATAAAACCTTTAAAATAATTATTCGAATATACCTCGGATACCTTTTCATGCATCTCTTTGACAAATAATTTAAAACTTTAACAACATGCTTTTTTCATACTATTTTAGTACCTTTTATATACCTATTTGCACTATGCATAGTGTTTCATGTATGGCGAAAGTAACATTTTTTCTTTTAACGACTAAAAACAGGAAATGCATTGTAAATTCATTGTACAACAATTCCTGTTTTAGCTTGCCACACTTTTTTATGAAAAATTCAGATGTATCCTTTTTGCATATTTTTCCCTTAATATTGTATAGTATTTGTGCACAAACGTAATTATCTACGGGAAAATAAAAATAGAGAGAGAGAGAGAGAGAGAGAAAGAGAGGAGAGAGAAAAAAAGAAAAACATGTATTACAAGTTTAATTATTTGATAAAAAGCACTTCAAAATGTAAATTTTGTTTACGATATAATGTGTCATGAAGAAATTATTTTTTTCTTCCAGCGATTTCACTCATTGCAAAGCTGTTAATATGCTCGATCTGTCACTTGGCTATTGCCAGGTCGGCGAATATGATCCATTCTCTTTAAGAGTGTGCTACGTGTTCTAGTTTCTCTGACGACGCGACCCCAAAAGAATCGGTGAAACGTGCCTAACCTTCTCTTTTTCCAAAGGATCCTCCGCTCCACCACGCGCGACGGAGATAAACCGAATACGCATTCTGTCCGCATGCATAATTCAAATCCCATCATTTGTATGTTAACATATTTATCAGCTTTATACTAATATTCAAATTGCAGTAAATCGGGTCAAAAGATGCGTTTCGTTGAAGAAAAGAAGATTCGTTTTTAATCTTCTGTATATATATATATATATCTTAAAAGAATTTAAAAAATCGAATATTATATCATTTTAATATATCTAAATATCTATCTGCTTTGATAAAAATTATCAAAATTAGATGAGATAAACAGAATTATTTATTTTATATTTATGGAAATTCTCTTCGACAGACTCTATAAAAAGATTGATCGTATTAAAACTTTTGTCGTAATAGCACGAAAACATCAGATTGTCATATATCTAGATGAGTAGTAATATTTACATAAAAACCATAAATATATATATATATATATATATAAAGACGGATACTTAGTGCGTTACATAAAAAATTGTATTAAATTATGCTTTGATTACTACTACATTTCTGCATTAAACTAATTCATTTTATACAATTAAGTAAAAAAGTATATAATCCTTTTGATAGGGTAATGTATGTGTAATCAAGATCCGTGTATAAATATTTAAGAGTAGTCCACCTGCAAATTGTATTACTATCTTGTTGCGTGATACTTAACTACGGAAAGTAACGACATTTTTCTGCGATATGATTTTTTATGCATGTTATATGTACCTATATGCTAAAATATAAAGCTGCCTTTACAGCGCGAAAGCCGTTTATTTTTACACAAGCATCAAAGTTACTTTTGAATACATTCAGCTTGTAGTTGCTTTATTAACTCTTCAGTAGCTAAGTAAGGTATTTTTAATATCCTGTATCATGCAATTATTCTCTATTTTACATAGAAATATTTTAATCAATTGATATTTTTAACACCCTTTAAAAATATGTTTTTCTATATAAAAAATTTTATCATTTTTTTCGTGTTTCATTAGTATTTATAGATAAAATATAAAAAATGCTTCACTTAGGGCGCGTTTAGAGTTACGCATGAAGTGCATGATGCATCATTTGTCCTTGTTATTCACCAAATAATAAAGACGAATAAAACGATACATCATGCGCTTCATGCGTAACTCTAAACGCACCCTTAATCACTCAAAACTGTAATTTAGTTCAGTTACAAAAATTAAAAAAAATAATGTTATTAAAAACATGTGTATTAGCTTTAACAAACGCTGGGAAACCTTAACATTTTTAAGTAGATTTTAAGTAGATTAAATAAATTTCACTATTTAATGAACAGCATTTCATAAAGTATGTACCTCGGTATGTATTTTCTTCGTATTATTCTAAGGTAATTATAAATAGTGAAATTGAAAAATTGCAGAGATTTTTTTACAAAATTTAAATGAAATTTTCCTTTGAGTTTTATTACAAAAAGAGTTAAGACAGAAATTTTGCAAGCTGTGAGAATTATATAATCTCTCCATTTGTCTGGGATTACATGCTGTTTGGCTCTTTTAAAAAAATCGCAGACACGTGTTTCTGATAAAAAATGCCGTTTCATACATTAAACTGCTTCTATCTTCATATTCTTTACAATTTATAATTTTTTATTTACTTATTTAATGGGAGGAAATATGATTTTCTATAAGATTGTCAATATATGTAATTCGTATTTAATCTCCTACATTCGAAATTTTCGAATAGTTCGAATTCAAATCATTGAGATTAGAATCTGAATCGAATTAAATTTTATTTGATTCAATTTAATTCGTATTCGAATAATTCGCACATCTCTAAAAATTATTACATTTTAGCACTACTTTTTATGCGTTTAATACTTTAAGCATCAAAGATATTTTGTGAAATAAAATAAAAACTCCGAAATGATTTTTGTTGATGTTTTAGTAAAATACAGAAAGTACTTAACATGTAATAAAATTTACTGTATTATTAAGTTATTTAGTTGAGAGAGTATTAAAAGTTATACTGTCTCTCTAATAAATCTCGATATACGTTTTTGCTCCAAATATAACGCAAACATCAAGAATTATTTTTAATGTTTTCATGTAAGGACCTGTAAGGTAAAGTGAGGTTATCTGTAGTCAATCTATCTAAGGTTTCCTTGGTATCACTCCATTTATCTCTAATCAATTTAATCTATTTAATCGCAAAGAAGAGGAAATAGAGCTCTGCTGATCTATCAAAATTTTATATTACGTAATTACAGTCGAGCAATCACGGAGCAAGTAATTTATCTGTTGCTTATAAAATTGATCATATGTTCCTCTTTATACGTGTGTTAGTATAAACTCGAGATTACCTTCTTCATTTTTTAAGACTAAATTAAGAATAAAATTATACGATATTCATTATAATATCTCCCTTAATTCTCTCAATATCCGAGAACTGCAAAATACGCGATCTCCGCTGCGACGATAGTCTCTCATGTTACAAATAACCAGGGTTGGGAACGTTACTTTATAAAAAACGAGTTATCATTACTGTTACTATTTGTAACAAGTAACTCTTCACTATTACTCGTTACTAATTATAAAACGCAACACGTTACTTGCAATTAGAAAGTATAACGATTCGTTATTTTTTTGTAATGCTAAAGTAAGACATTAAATTTTAAAATCATGTACATTATTTAATAATCACTATTAAATGTAACAATCAATATTAAATCTTAAAATTTTAAGCTAGATTCTAAAGCAGACTTTTTATATTAAACTTATCTAATAAATCTTCTATAATTCTTTACATTAATATTTTTATTTTTTAATATTTATATTTTTAGGAATTTAGACTGTAATTCGCAAAAGCAAATTTTATTAAAAATTAAACATTGTTTTTAAACATTAGTATATTAAGAATGCATTCCAATGTTTCAATATTCATTCTAGTACTGTTGTTTTTGAAAATTTACAGTTTATGTTATATATCCATATACTACAAATTTTCAGTATTGATTAGCAACTGTCAAAATGCTTAAGATATAAAATACAAGATACTTTTTATATTAACAAATTTTTCAATATTTGTGTTTTAATAAAATTTCTATCCATACAATAAAAAATAACGCGATCTATTGAATAGGTATACCTAAAGATAATAAGTAATTAAAAGAACGATAAAAGTAATGGCTAAATTTGTTACTGTTACTGTAAAAATGTAACGACGTTACCATTATCATTACAAAAAGAAAAAAAAGTAATGACCGCTATATAAATTTGTTACTGTTACTGTAAAAATGTAACGACGTTACCATTATCATTACAAAAAGAAAAAAAGTAATGACCGCTATAAAAAAAAGTAACGGTAACGATTACGGTGTGTGTTATTTCTTAATCCTACAAATGACCAGCATAATCCCTAAGAGGGATTAGACGATTAAAAAGCGAATTCGATTTAACAATACACGCCTCTTTAAAGAATGAATAATGTTCAATAACAAAATGTATTCGCATAAATGGAAATTATTATAGACTGGGTAA